TATATATATTTCAAAGATTAAATTAGTAGTTTAGTCTATTTATATGTATAATTATGATCTAAAAATATGAGAGGTTAAAGATGTTTTTATTTCCTTAAAGAAAATCAAATTTATTTATTATTAATAAAAATAAAATGAATAGTTTTGTTCATATATTTTAAAATATGTAAATTTTAGAATTAAAACTGTTTTCCCTGTATAAAAAAAATAAAGTTTTAAAATTTCATAAAATATAAAAACTAAAATTAGTGTTTTAAAAGTTAGGAAAAAATAAAATTTAGAATATTTTCCAGAAGTAAAAACACCATTAATCCAAATATCAATTAATTTAGTTTTAGGTAATTGTTTATTCGTTTACTTATCTTTAAAAAAATAATTTTAAGTGTAAAATGAATTTTCAAAATTAATTTATAGCTAACATAATATTAGGTAATTTTATGTTAGGTTAAAAAAACTATATTAAATTTTTATTATTCAAGCACAAGTAAATTTAATTTATAAAATCAATTTTATAAATGCTCATTCAAGAACATGAAATAGAAGAGAAAAAGTGAATAAAATTACTTTTACAAAATCAATTTCAATTAAAATTGATTTTAAAGTTAAGGAATTTATATTTAAATTTTTTCCGGAAGATAACTTAATAATAAGATTTAGTCTAAAATTTCTTCCATCTATGTTTCGTATGTGTAAGTATTTGAATAGTAAAATTTAAGATGATGAGAATAAATGAAACACACACATGAATGGGATATTCGTTGTCAAGCTATTTATAGCTATTTAAAAGCAACGTTTCATTTTAATGAAAGGATATGTAAAAGGAAGTGATTAATTGTAAGACTTAATCATTCATACACTGCTAATATAATTTTTTTTTATATTGGTAATTAATTATATCTTTTAAATTATTTTATTTTATTTTTATTTTATTAGATAAGCAATTGACATGATACTATTAAAAGATATGATTGGTTGTTAATGTAAAAAAACTTTACACTAACAGTTATAGGTGATTAACTCTAATTGTAAATGATCATTCTTCTCTCTTTCATCTAAAATTTATTGCCACCAATGGCGTTGGAAGCCAAATGAGAGAGGAGGGTATGTAGATAATGAAAGGACGTTGATGTCCACCGTTTTCTCTATCTAAATATTTTTATGACCAAACTCATACAAATACAAATAGGACATAAAAAAATAAGAGTTAATCATTTATACACGGTTAGTGTAAAGTTTTTTACACTGGAAACCAATCATATCTTTTAAAGTTGATTATTTTATTATTATTTCATTAAATAAGTAACTGACATGACACTATTGAAAGATATGATTGGTTGCCAGTGTAAAATTTTTTTATACTAACAGTGTATAGGTGATTAACTAAAAAAATAATGACTAATCCAACATGGAGACCAATAGAAATCATTGACATCATGGAGACTAGTGATGTATTGACATTATCTCCAAAGATAATAAATGGAGTAGACTAGATTTAAAGGAAGAAAGTATAAGTTCTTATTAAATTTTGGATAATTTTATTAATTTATTTTCTTTTTGTATGTGTCTATTTTTTTGATAAATAATTTATTTATTTTTATTTTGTTTTTAGTCGAGTAATTTATGAAATTTATTCCTATATTATAGTTTTATGTTGATGTGTAATTAGTAATTTAGAGGAGGTGTAACTAATTAAAATTATATTAGACTTTTAGTGGCTGGATAGTCCAAACTTTTTATTGGTCTTGGTTTGTGATGTCTACTTATACAACAAAGTGGTTTGAAAGCTTACTTAAATATCTAAGTTGCAAATT